ATATATACACACACACACACACACATCACACATACATATACATCTTTTCCCTATGTCCACATTTCTCACAAGATAACAGGTCATTTAAGAGCACTTACTTTTTCTAACTGTGAATGGTCACAGCCATTGAAATCCTATGGAACACAGGTGTGACATCCTTGAGTTGTTATGAGTGGAAATAAACTTGATGATAGCTGTTTTTGTTTTCTTTTTAGTAACTCTACTGAACTGTCACCTTAGAGGCAAAGATGGTGAAACTCGGTCTCACATATTTTGGGCATGTTGTCAGGAGGTACCAGTCCTTTGAAAAAGGGATCGTGCTGAGAAAGAGAGAGTCAGAGAGAGAGGAAGATCATCAACAAGATGGATTGATGCAGTGACTACACACACACACACACACACACACACACACACATTTTCTTTTTTACTGTTGTCTATCTGCAGGCCCTTCCCTATAACCGTGTTCTGGAGATCCACGAGCAGCATCTCTCTCCAGTGGTGACAGCATACTTTAAGAAGCCCTTGTTGCTCCACCAGGGGCATATGGAATGGCTGTTTGATTCTGATGGAAACAGATACCTGGATTTCTTCTCAGGAATTGTCACTGTCAGTGTTGGTCACTGTCACCCGTAAGTATCAACAAAATCTGGGGTGTTCCATCTGGAGGAATCTCTGAGAAACAAACTAATTGCAAACTGAGTGTAGGCAGCATGAGGATGGCAAAGTCTGACTCCTAGTAACTACACAAAGGGAAACGACCCCATCAAAAACATCTAGAATACAAAACTATTTCCTGATTCCGATAAGATCAGACATAGTCCCCCACACTCCTGCATCTACTTCTACTACTTCTAATACCACTCTTGCTTTACTGGGTCCGAAGTTCATTGCAATAACTACACAAACTTTACACAGCCATACTCTGGATTATGAGGTTTATTATGAAAGTTATTATACTTTCTAGTATGAATAACTATACTCAGGATTATGGGGTATATTAGGGAAGTTTATCCCATAGACTGCCAAAAAATAAATAACTGTGTCTTGGAGGGGGTGCAGCCAACATGCTCTTCAGAGGCAAAGATGATGAGGCTTTGACTCACATACTTCAGGCATATTTTAGGAGGGGCTATTTCTTGGAGAGGAGCATAATTCTCAGAAATGCAGTGGGTTGGTGAAGGAGAGAAAGACCCTCAACTGTGCAGATTGACACAGTGACGGTTGCAATGGCCTCTAGTGTGTCAGGACGTGTGAGGATGGCACAGGATAGGATAGATTTCAAATCAGTTGTTCATTGGTCAGTATGGGTCGTACTTGACAGCACCTAACAACTAACAACAGGGAAGTGATCAGGTTATAATTCAGGTTGGAAGCAGGATACAATCTCTCAGTCCAGACAGCTTCTCAAGTATGATCACGGGCCCTTTGACCTCTAACCTCATGGTCAGTATGTTCCCATAGTCCTGTTAAGTTATAGCATCTTTTCTCTGTCCTCCACCAAGCTTGGGTGAAGGCCTCCGAATCTGGTTCCGAGGGACAGCAGTGCAGTCAGCTCTGTCTCATGTTGGTCTCTGGTTCTCTGCAGGGGCTGTTGCTCTTGCATAGATCCTGCTCTTACAGACAGTAGGAATCTCTGGCTTCAAAGCCTTAAATAGGGAGCTCTTGTGGCCTAGTGGAAAAAGTTGTAGTGCAAGCCCAAAGCCGTGAGGTTCAAATCCACCAGCTGCTCCTTAGGATGGACAATCTCCTCCCCTGTGATTAACCGCTTCTGCAAACCCCCTGGAGGATCAACTACGGGTTGGTTCTGACTTGACAGTGCACAACAACAATGTCTTAAATTGTGTGGTCTCAGAGTTATAAAATAAACTATTACTCAGTCTCATATCTGAGTGTCCTTTGAAGAAAAAACTATTAATCCTGCATGCATGTGAATGAAAAGATTTATGAAACTAAGAATAAAATGAGAAAGCATCCAGGTTTCTCTTCTCTATTTTCTAAACAGTTAAAAAGAAAATAATAAAACAATTTATATCTGGAAGTGATTCTAAGTCTAACTCCCCCTATGCCATAACTTCATTTCTTAAAATCAGAGAGGTGTTTATTTAATCTCTTATGAATATTTCCCTTGCATAGAAATGCATTACTTTTTTCAGGTGATAACTTTTGTTATTGAATGCATCTGGTGGCATTAGATATTCTTTTTTTCTGAGTCTTTCAAAACTTTTTTAGAAATAGTAGTATATTTGGATTCAAGACTCTTACATCCAGAAGGTCTGTTGGTCGTGTAAAGGGTGGGCAATTGACTACTAACCTAAATTTAACTAACTCAACTCTGAATTTTTGGGGTGGTGTTTTTGGCAGAAATCAGAGAACACCGGAATAATGTCTATCTGTGCTTCATTGACTATACAAAGGCTTTGACAGTGTGGATCACAACAAGCTATGACTGCCTCTGAGAAAAATGGGAATCCCAGAGAAGATTTGATTGCGCTAAAGTGAAACCTATACTTGGACCAAGAGGCAGTCGTCAGAACAGAGCAGGGAGACACTATATGGTTCAAAATCAAGAAGGGAGTCCATCAAGGATGTATTCTGTCTCCATACCTTTTCAAACTGTATGCAGAACAGATCACCCGAGATGCTGGGCTGTATGAGGAGGAATGTGGCATCAGGGCTGGTGGAAGAGTCATCAACAACCTGCATTATGCAGATGACACAACCCTACTTGCTGAAACTGAGAAGGACCTGAAGTGCTTGCTGCTAAAGGTCAAGGACTGCAGCCTTCAATATGGATTGAAGCTCAACATCAAGAAAACAAAGATTCTCACCACTAGGCCAATTGGCAGCATCCGTATGGATGGTGAAGATATGGAGATAGTTAACAGTTTTAGTTTACTTGGTTCCACAGCCAACACTCTTGATAACAGCAGCCAGGAAATCAAGAGATGTATTGCATTAGAAAGTCGGCTGTGAGGGACCTCTCAAGAGTACTGAAGAGCAACGATGTCAGGCTGGAGACTAGGGTGCGCCTGATCCAAACTAAAGTCTGCGCAATTACATGGTATGCATCAGAGAGTTAGATAGTGAATAGGGATGATAGAAAGAGAATTGATGCCTTTGAGCTGTGGTGCTGGAGAAGAATGTTGACTATACCATGGACTGCTAGGAGAACAAACAGGTTTGTCCTGGAGAGGGTGAAACTGGAGTGCTTCTTGTAGTCAAGGATTCTGAAGCTTCATCTGACATATTTTGGGCATGTTGCAAGGAGGGCCTGACTGGTCCTTGGAGAGGAATGTCATGTTTGGGAGAGTGGATGGACGGCACAGGAGAGGAAGACCCTCAATGAGATGGATCGATTCTGTGATTGGGGTGGCGGGAATGAGTGTGTTGGAGACTGCGAAGTTGGCACAGGATAGAATGGCGTTTAGGGCTCTTGTACATATGGTCACTATGAGTCGCAAACGATTCTATGGCACATAACAACAACTAGTTTATTTAGAAAATTTTAATACATTGTTTTCAAGAACAATTTTTTTTCAATTTCCCTCATCCTTCCCATCCATCAAATTGTACAACCCCATGATTAATCCCCCCTCTTCTCCCTGCACATCTTCATCTCTCTGCTTCCAACCTCTCTCATCATTTATACTTATTCTACAATAATGGTTTTATACAATATTTATACTTGTGTGAATTAGTTAGTTCCCTCAGCATAAAGCTCTACAGTCCCTCCCAGGTAAGGTAATAATTTACAAAATGCTCCTGAGTGTTGCATAGTATTCCACTGTGTGATTGTACCATAATTTCTCAATCCATTTGTTTGTGGTTGAACATTTGGGTTGTTTCCATGTTGAGTTGGAATCAATGCCTAGCTGACCCTCCTGTGGGTTTTCAGGGCTGTTAATCATACAAGAGGAGAGTGCCTGTCTTTATCCTGCAGAGCAGTGGTGGATTTGAACTCCCACATTAGGTCACCAAAGCTTCCTACTAACCTAAAGGTTGAACACTTAAATCCATGCAGAAGCACCATGGGGAAAAAGGCCTGATTATCTGCTTCTATAAAGATGCACCCACGAAAATCATAAAAATGACAGTTCTACTCTCTAGCTGTTGTCTAATTGCCAAGTAAGCCTGGTAAGTTTACGTGTGCTTACTTATTAACCTGTAGTGAACAATTTAACGTTTTGTCATCACATCAAAGATTTTGCTTCTAGACATGACTGGCATCTGTCTTTCTCCTGGCATCTATTCACAGTCCTTCACAGAAACAGAATACCTAGTAAGATATACATAAACTTAACTTGTGCTGACTCACTAAGAGTTTGCTTACCTTATTTTTTTCTTGTATATTCTTTGGTATGAATTCTTATACAATCATTCATATATATATATATATATATATATATATATATATATATATATACACACACGTATATATATATTCTGTTTAATCGATGTACATTGTGAGTTTTGTTTTGTTTTGGGGGTTATTTTTACTTTATATTAGTTTGCTTACAAAGTTTGTAAACATCACTTACAAAGTTTGTCTTATACATTAATTCCTATTCATTATGTTTTATAAAATTAATCGTCCACTGAACTATGTCCACAATTACCCTGTCTTTTCAGATCCATGCTGCATTTTTCCCATTTCCTTTAGCCAGTCCTCCCTCCATTCACCAAATTGTATGATCTTATGATTACGCCCCCATCCTCATCCCTCTGCTCCCATCTCTTCCCCTCTTGGATTCCTATACACATTTTACTAGTGTATCTTTATATTTCTACAAATAATGGTATTATGCAGTAGTTATCCTTATGAGACTGATTTAGTTCATTCAGCATAATATTTTCAGTCTCTCTCAAGTTATGTAGTAAGTTTTTAAATTCTTACTCCTGTTACTTAATATTATTTCTTCATGTGAGTATACTACAATTTCTCAATCCATTCAATCATGGTTGGACATTTGGTTGTTTCCCTATTCTTGCAATGGTGAATAATGCCGTTATGAGCATTGATGCATATATTTCCATTTGTATCTCAGTTCTAATTTTCTCAGAGTATATTCCTAGCAGTGGAATAGCTGGGTCATATGGAATTTCTCTTTTCAGCTCTTTGAGTAAATGCCAAACTATCTTCCAGGGTGGTTGTCCCATTTAACAATACCACTAACAGTGTATAAGAGTTCTCATCTCACCACATCCTCGCCAACAATAATTGCTTGCTCTCCTGTTAAACTTTGCCACTGCTACTGGGGTGAGATGGTATCACATGGAGGTTTTTATTTGCATCTCTCTTATTTCCAGTTATTTTGATAATTTCTTCATGTGTCTGTTGGCCATCTCCATGTATTTTGCCCATTTTGTAATTGTGTTATCTGTCTTTTCCTTTTGGATGTCATGCAGAATTCTGTAAACTTTAGTTATGAGACCCTTGTCTGAGATGGTACTGCAAATGTTTTTTCCCAGTCGATAAGTTTTCTTTTCACCTTGTTGGACAAGAATTTAATCTTGTTAAGGTCCCATTCATCAATCTTACCCTCTCCTGGTTGTATATTTCTGGCTGTATTTGTCAGCCTTTTTATACCGCGGGCTAGGCCTTCTAAGCCCTTCTCCTGAAAAAGTATACCCAGTGAATACCCCAGACACAGAAAAACATAAAAAATTTGTTGATGTGGAGTTAACTGAATAGCTAAAGAAGAAGAGAATGCACTGTATTTTGTACAATTATTTACTATTGATCGATGACTATTATAATCTCATCTTTTCAAGTCTCCATTGTATCATTTTTATACCTTCACCCTCACTCTTCCCACTAGTCTCTGTTATCCTAATAACTTCCCCCTTTCCCCTTCTTATGCCCTCGTTTCTCCCCTTCTCCTTTTGAACATTTATATATATCCTGCTCAGTTATACTCCTATTTTCACAATAGTAGTCTTCTATGACCTTATATGAGTTATTTCACTCACCATAATGCTCTCTAGACTCTCCCATGTTATACAGTATTTTATGAAATCATTGTTCCTTGGTGATGCATAGGATTCTAGTGTGCATGTGTGTACCATAATTTCTCAAATAATTTGTTTCTTAATGGGCATTTGCACTGTTTCCATTTTCTTGCTATTGTGAATAATGAAGCTAAGAAGATAGGTGTACATATCTCCATTCATGCCTCAGTTTTTATTTCTTTGAAACATTCTAAGCAGCAAAATAGCTGGGTCATGTAGGAATTCTATGTTTGTTTTTCGAGGAGATGTCAAATTGCCTTCCATAGTGGTTGTACCATTTCACAATCTTACCAGTAACCTTTAAGAATTCCAATCACATCTTTGCAAGGTCGCTTTATGAAGTGGGAGCACACATGCAGGTTAAACCCCAGGGTCTGGAATGTGCCATCCTTTTGCCTCCAAACAGGTGGGGACATATCAGGGTACAGGCCAGATGAGAAACTGTGGCTGCAAGAGCTGCGAGAGCTGAGGAGGCTATGGGTGAAGGACCAGGAGCTGAGCCCTCAAGAGCCAGTCATGGCCCCAAAAGGTTAAGGCCTCTGCAAGAGTTCTGGAATAACAACCAGGAGAGGATAAAATAGATGAGTGGGACCTTCTAAGAATAAAATCCCTATGCACATCCAAAAACTTCTCCAACAGGGTAAAAAGTGAAGCCACAGACTGGGGTAAAATATTTGGCAATGACATGTCTGATAAGTGACTTATATCTAGAATTTATAGAATAATACTCAAGAGACACAACAAGAAAAAGGTAAAAATGGGCACAGGATATGAACAGACACTTCACCAAAGAAGACATCAGATGACGAACAAACACATGAAGAAATGTTCAAAATCCCTAGCTCTAAAAGAAATGCAAATCAAAACAACTATGAGATATCTTACCCCAGTAAGAACAGCAAAATTCAACAGAGCAGCAAACAGCCAATGCTGATGAGGTTGCAGTGAAACTGGAACCCTTATTTACTGTTAGTGGGAGTGTAAAATGCTGCAACCTCTATGGAAGACAGTATGGCACTTTCTCAAAAATTTGCAAATAGAAATACCATTTGACCCAGCAATTCCACTACTGTGAATATACCCTAAAGCAACCAGAACTGCCACCCAAGCAGATATATGCATACCTATGTTTATTGCTGCTGTGTTCACAATAACAAAAAGCTGGAAACAACCCAAATGTCCATCAACAACAAATTAATGGATAAACTGTGGTATATTCACACAATGGAATACTATGCTGCATTGAAAAACAAGGAACTCATGAAATATCATACAAAATGGGTGATTCTGGAGGATATTATGCTGAGTGAAATATCTCAGTCATAAAAGGACAAATACTGCATAGTGCCACTGTTGTAAAACAGGACTAACTTTGAATTTGGGAGGAACCTAAGAAAAGAAAGGATAAATAATGTATACTACATTGAAACAGATGAGAGAGAGAACTGTTTAAAAGGAATATAGGATTAGGTATCATTTTCATGACAAGATTACAGAAAAAGAAATGCATGGTAAAGCAGACTGTGGACTTGGGGGGATTGTATAACAACAAAAGAATTTTTTTTTCTTTTCAAAGACAAAAACTAACAGGGGGAGAGATGGGCAGGGAGGAAAATGTGCAACGATGAATGAATGGGGGGAAAATAAATGGAAAGAATATGCTGTAAAAAACTATGTATGTTGCATTTAAAAAATCATTATTAAAATAAAAAAAAAAGAGTTCTGGAATAAGTTTTTGCAGAACTCAACCCCCTGGAGGAATGCAGTGTTGGTATACATAGTACCTTTGCTTTTATGGATGTAGTTACCTGCTTGGATTAGTCATGATTATCTCAAATATTATGTGAATGTCCAACCATATGCCATCGCCGACACGAAACCTAAACGCTCACCAGGTGATAGAATTCTAGAGAGTGGAGAAGTAATTCCACCAGTGAAAGACTTTCCTGACCAACATCATTAAAGACTGTTTCAATATTTCAAAGGCTTATGAGCATAAGTCCTACATTACCATTTCAATGAACATATTTTCTGGCAAAGCTATGTAATAAAGTAAATTTATATGAGTTTACTTTCAAAAAATGAAACATTCCAATTACTCTACATTCTTTCCAACATACATTGTTTGCTGTTTTATTAAACTTTGCTACTCCTGCTCCCAATGAAACACTAATGAGATGGTATCTCATTGTTGTTTTGATTTCCATCTCTCTGATTTCTAGCCATTTTGAACATTTTGTCATGTGTTTGTTAATTATTTGAATATTCTCCTTTGTGAAGAGTCTTTTCTTGTCCTTTGCCCATTCCGTGATTAGGTTATCACTCTTTTTCTTGTGAAGGCTTTGTAGTATTCTGTAAACTTTAGTTATGAGACTCTTGTCTGAAATATTGTTGCAAATTTCCCCCCAGTCTGTAGGCATTCTTTTTTTCCTATTGGAGAAGGTTTTCGATGTACATAGGGATTTGATTTTAAGAGGGTCCCATTCATGTATTTTACCCTCTATTGATCGTTCATTTTTGGCTATGTTTCAAGTCTGATTGTCTTGTAGGCTGTTGTTGTTGTTAGGTGCTGTAGAGTCTACTGTGACTCATAATGATCCTATGAACAATTAATTAAACCCTGTCCTATACTATACCATCCTCACAATCTCAGACACTCTCAAACCCACTGATACACTCATTATGTCAACCCATCTAGTTGAAGATCTTCCTCTTCTTCATCGACACCCATCTTCCCAAGCATGATATATCTCTCTCAAATGAATAATCTCTCATTAATGCCTACAATGTCAGTGTTCATGGATTCCATTTAATTTTTTGTAACATGTAGTTTTACAACATTCACACTCCATAGGTATTAAAAGTTGTTTGTAGCTGTTTTTCTTTATTTTGATTGACTGCCAATGTAGGATCTACCTGTAATGCTATAGCTGTTCGTGTTCCTCTATTGTTCATAGGGTTTTCAGAGGCTTGTTATTTCAGAGGTGGATGGTCAATTCTTCCTAGTCTGTCCTAATTTATTTTAGGAGCTCCAGTAAAACCTGTCTACCATGAATAACCCTCTAGCTTTTGAAACAACAATGACACAGCTTTCAGCATCACAGTCACCCACAAGTATAGCAAACTGACAGACAAGCACTGTACTAATTTGAACAATGTTAAGCAAACAAAAACACATATATCCAAGCTACAAAGTAATTAGCAATATGCCATAGGCCAGAGCTTCTAAATTTGATCCTATTTTGTCTCTTATGATCTTTATGATTTTGGGGTTTACCCCTAGATCTCTGATCCACAATGAGTTGGTTTTTGTGTATGTATGGTGTGAGATGTGGATCCTGTTTCTGTTTTCTGCAGGTAAATGTCTAGTGTTGACAGCATCATTTGTTAAAGATTCTATTGTTTGTTTCCCTATTTAATAGGTTTTGTTTCCGCGTCAAATGAGTTGGTTGTGGATGGATGGTTTGATTTCTGAATTCTTCAGTACCATGCTATTTTGATTACAACTGCTGTGTAGTAGATTTTGAGATCAAGAAGTGAGATGCCTGCTACTTAATTTTTGCTTTTCAGAAAAACTTTGCTTATTCTGGTTCGCTTTTCTTTCAAATGAAACTGAAAATTGTCTTTTTTTTATCTCCTTGAAGAACAAATTTGCTATCTGTATTGGAATTGTGTTGAATCTAATTATAGATTGCTTCTGGTAGGATTGTCATTTTTACAATGTTCAGTCTTTCCATCCATGAACAGGGGACATTTTTCCCTTTAATCAGGCCTCTTATTGTTCCTTGTAGTAGTATTTTGTAGGGTGTGAGGTTTTTTCCTTATAATGGCTTTTTGTATAACTAGTTAGGTTTATTACTAAATGTTTCATCTTGTGGTTGATTACTGAAAATAGTACTACTTTCTAGTTTTCTTTTCCATGCTTTCTTTATTACTGTATAGATATCCAACTGACTTTTGTAGCCAATCTTTTAACCTGCCATTCTACTATTGTCTACTAAGTCTAACAGGGGTTTTATTGTTGAGTCTTTAAAGGGGGGGTGTGTATGTGTGTTGTGCACTTTTTAATCATCTGCATATAGTGATAATTTCACCACTCTTTTGTGAATTTAAATGCCTTTTATTCCCTTCTCTTGCCTCATTGGCTTAGCTAAAATTTCCAAGACAATATTGAATAGGAGTTGTGCTAATAGGCATCCTTGCTTGGTTACTGTTCATATGGGGAGTGCCTTTTTTCTCTTTCCTATGAGAATCACGTTGGCTCTTGGTTTTGCATATATACTTTTCACTATGTTGAGGAAATTGGCAATCAACTTCATATGTAACACATAGGTTGACATGAATTGAAATCCATTCAATAGGTTTGGGCTTTAGGGGCTCAAGATCCACTGGAAGTGTTGACGGGAGGCATGTTTTCTTGTTTCTCCAGGAAGATCAACACTGAGGCTCAAGAGCAGCTTAACCGCCTGTGGCACACGAGTACTGTCTTTTTCCATGCCCCAGTGCATGAATATGCAGAGAAGCTCTCTGCACTTCTTCCTGACCCTCTGAAGGTAAGATCCTCCAAAAGCCCTTCTGATGCCTGTGCTGTAGGAACTGCAGTGGGAAGCAGAAATATAAGCAAAGGATTTGATCTGAACACTCGGACTATTGAGCCAACAGCCCTATCTGAAATCAATCAAGCAGAAGAAAAGAATTTGAGTTGCTGGTGAAACAACAATTCTGGGGTCAGTGCTGATGTCCATCATCTCAACCCTTGGCCGCTTTCCTCACCACCACATCATTGCAGAAAGCACTTCCCAGGGGCCCCAGCCTTCCTTAGTCTGCTGTATTCCTCTACAGGTTTCCATACCTCTAGTCCACAGTTCCTCTGCAAAGCAAAGCCATTCTCATTTCTTCTCTTATAGAGCAGAGAAATGAGCCCTTTTAAAAAAATAAAAGTAATAGAATATTTGTCTATTAATTATCTAATTTTTTTTTTTTGGTTCATCCTGGAGAGGGTAAAACCAGGCTGTTTCTTGGAGGCAAGGATTCTGAAGTTCCATATGACATATTTTGGGGATGTTATAAGGAGGGACTAGTCCTTGGAGAGGTACATCATGGTCAGAAAGGTGGGGGGACAGTGCAGGAGAGGGAGGCTCTGGATAAGATGCATTGATTCAGTGACTGGAGTAATGAGGGTAGGTGTGGCTCAAGGTAGAGCAGAATTCAGAGCTGTTGTATATAAGGTCGCTATGAGTCGCAGGTGACTCGATGGCACATAATAACAACAATTTGTTGATTAATTGTCATACATTTTGTCTACAATATAGCTAGACACATTTACAAAATGAGATTTCTTTGTGTCCCTGAAATGAGTGCATTTCAGACTGAAAAGAGATGTTGAAAGGGTGATCAAAATTTGTTTTACGGCATTAAATTTGTACATATCAGGAACTTCAAAAGTGTTCAATTAGAACATGGTGGTAGCCGTTGTTACTATTATACTATCAAGCTGAATTCAAAGAGCCCTCTTCTGGTGGCCTCGTGGTAAGAAACTGCACTGCAACGCCAAAGGTACATCACTCAAGTCTACTTTCTGCTTAGCAGGAGGAGAGACAATCTTCTCCAGTGCAATTTACTGTTTGCTGGAGGGTCAGAGTTGGTTCAGCTCCAACTCAACAATAAACAACAACACTAGTTTAGTAGATTAAGGGTTTGACTATTAACCAAATGGTCAGCAACCTGAACCCACCAACCAGTTCATGGAGGAAAGATAAGGCAGCCGGGATTCATTAAAATATTGTTGTTGTTTGTTCTTAAACCACATGCCTTTGAGATTGCAGCACAACTTCTTACCACAGAAACCCAATGGAAGGTTACCATAGCAGTGAGAGATTTTTATTTTGTTTTTGCTCAATCATTGTTCTTATTAAACTAAGATAAAGTAGCTTCACCTGGACAGGAGTGTGAAATGGTTGGCACACTCAGCTGCTAATCAGAAGACTGTAGACCACCAAGAGGCACCTTGGAAAAAAGGCCTGCTGGTTTCCTTCTGAGACCTTCTAGTCTGGCATACATGAGTCTGCTATGAATCGGTACTAATGGGATGGCAGCTGATTGACCACGGTTGTAATGGAAAGGAGCAACAAGGGAGTCAGCCCACCCACCTTCTAGTCCCTGAACCTGGAGGAACCATGGCTCTTCCATCTCCCCATTCCTTTGGTCAACCTAATCTGCATTTATTGTATGTGTGCTTGCTTGTTTTCAAGAAAACAAGCCAGCCTGGCTTATCCCCCCAGAATGCAGGGCCAGGAAGTCTGCTTTCTTCTAAGTAGGACTTTAAAATGGTTTCAACTGGCTCAGTAATAAGCAGTTGAGGAAATATGAACAGATTACATTTTCTTTGTTATTTGAATGAAGTGGAATGATAATTGGAATGCAGAAAAATTGCAAGTTGAAGGCCTGGAATGAGAGACTTGGAGAGATGTAGTGAATCCTTTCAGAAGCCAGATGTGAGAGACTGGATTCTTGCCAAGACCATAGAGAATGATGCGCATTCAAAAAGTACACAATGGTTTAATGAAATATAATGTGGGAGAGTCTAGAGAGCTGAGTGAACTAACTTAGTCTCAAAAGGGCAAATACTGCATAAAGTCTTTCTTGTCAAAATAGAAGGATAACTAGTGTAATCTGTATAAATGTCCAAAAGAGTAAGAAGAAAGGAGAAAAGGAGCAGAAAGGAAGAAATGGAAATCAATAGGATAACAGATACTGGTGGGTGAATGGGGAAAGAGGGGGATAGGAAAGATTCAATGAGAACTCCAGAAGATGGGATGATAATAACATAGATCAATAGGAATAAATTATATGGAATACAAGGTATAGGAATGATTGTATAAAACACAATGTAAATGAAATATTCTATAAAAAAAGAAGATGTGCTTGGCCAACACTATTGAGTGAGGCACCATTTCCTACTTTACTGGTCAGGCATTTAGTTGCTACGCAGCTTACATACTGTCCTTGTTTTTAAAGAGGAAGATTATGTTTCCAGCAGAGACATTTTCCCAACACTAGTTACCATTCCAGTTTAACCATAATTTACCCACTCAGTCCATTCTAGTTTCTCTGAGTCAGCCATGACTAAACTGGAAAGATAAGCTCAAAGCCCTAGTTCTAGCCCCTGGGAGTTAGGTAGTCTGGTTGAGGTTCAGGCAAAAAACACGATCTACAAATTCACTCAGCATGTGACCACTGAGTGTCCACCTGCAAATCACCTTAGATTTCAGCAGTCTGTAGAACCTCAAATAAGGATAATAGAAGCCTGGAATCTTCGGTAGCTGGGACAATCTCGTGGCCATTTGGTGTCTCTAGTGCTTAGTAGCTGCTCAAGGAAAAACTGTAGAGTAATTAAGTGATCAGACAGCTAGGCAAGCCCAACTGGTCTGAGGAGCTCTTTCCTTAATCATGACTTGGATCCTTGGCCTTTTAACTGATCATGAAATCACAGGGTAATGTGTGTCTCTTTTCCTTTCAGGTCATTTTTTTGACAAACAGTGGTTCCGAAGCCAATGACCTGGCCATGCTGTTGGCCAGAGCTCACACAAATAGCACAGACATCATCTCATTCAGGTAATCATCCTGGGGAAATTAAAATATGGCAGCACTGGCTTAGCATAACAATAAATGATTCTTCAAAATATCACAAGAGATTTTCCTAGAAGCATTTTTCTAATTGTAGTATTTAAGTCAGACTCAACCAAGTGAGTTTTATGTTTTGATAACCCCATCTGGAGCCCTGGTGGCATAGTCCACAGAGAGTTGAGTTGCTAGCCCACAGGTTGAATATTGCCAATGGTTTGAATCCACCAGCATACTCCAGAAGAAAAGGAACATTCTCCTCATGTATGATTTATAGTTTCTGAAACCCAATACAGCATCAGCTATGAGTCAGTTCCAACTCTACTACAGTGAGTGAATGAGCCCCACTCAATTAGAGTCTTTGATTTTATCAACACCTTGGAGGCCTCATTAAATCATGGCTCCTCCTAAGAAAATTTAAAAAAAAATAATAACCACACAGCAAGTTTTTTTTGTTTTAAGTTGAAGACTCAGTATTAGTTACAACACATACACCAAATGACTTCTCTACACTCAGATAGACTCATGGTTCTGCAGTGTGGCACTGTGCATATTCTAATCTCCACTTTAACAAGGAGTCATATACTCTTCAGTGGATTATTGTTCCATCTTGTATTTTCATTAAGGTCAGAAGATGAAAAAATAACCCTGCATATTTCTGCTTTTTTCAGTGGTTTTTACAAATCATTAATTTAATAGATTGCTAGGCTAAAAATCAAAATGGAGGTTGAAGCTCAACTCAAAAATCCTATGTCAGGACATCCCGCAGAACCAGAACTCAGAAATTCCCATATTAGGACCTTTTCCAAAATCAGAAATTTTATGCACCAATGAGCTAATGCAATGTCAAACTCATCTCATAATCCCCTAAAATATACTTGCTAAAACCCCATATAAACCCTCTAAACCCAACCCCCAATGCTACTTCCCTTGCTAAGAAGCCTGGCACACAATAAACTCTGAGAAGTGTTTCTACCTCGGCATGATTCTTGGCTTTGATCCGAACAAAACATTTCAATTATAAACTCGAATGACCTTCTTCTCATTAAAAATAACAGAAAACTAAATATGTTGCTCATAGTTGCCTTCTTTGGATGATTTTATAAAGCTAATTCAGATTAATGTCTAAGGTTTATGTAAGAGACTGCAGTGAGTTATAATAGAAATTAATAGAAAGGGGGGAAAGTCTCATTTTTACCCCCTTTTGAATCATAGTTTCTGTCTAAGTTTAAAGGAAGACTGCTTTCAATCTCATCATGTTATGTACAATACAAATTCCTTATAAAATACACTTGCCATTATCATGGGCTAAAGAAACATCTGCAATGAAGAATATGACAATAAAGAATGTTGACTGATATTCTCTCTAAATAAACATTCCAGAGAATGGGCATCCAAGGTGAAGATTGTCTCTGAGAAAAACTTATAGTGATTCCAAGGCTCAACACATGATCGTGTCTCCTTTGTCAAGATATAGGTCCACTCTGAGTTCTAAATCCTAGTTATTTAAGGATATTTTTGTTTTGGAAATTGTCAAAATTCATTGGAAGCTAAGGCCGATGAACCAGATGCTTTGTACTAAACATAACTATGACTATAGAGACCCGATGAACAATGGCTCTGAATCCTGCCATATCCTGCACTAACTTTACCATCTCTGACATATCTGACCCTGTTGCCACAGTAAGTTGTCAATTCATCTCTTCCATAGTCTTCCTCTTACTGACCTCCTACCATTCCAAGTATGATGTCCTTTTCCAAGGACTAGTCCCTCCTGGAAACATGCTCAAAATTTATGAGATGGAGATTCAAAATCTTTGCCCCCAAGGAAAAATTTGGTTTCACCTACTCCAGGACAGACTTTGTTTATTCTCTTGGCGTATGTTCATTATTCTTCTCCAGCACCACAACTCAAAGGCATCAGTTCATTTTCTGTCTTCCTTATTTATTGCCCAGGGTTCAGATGCACAGCAAACAATTCAGAAGACACACCTTAATCTGTGGACTTACATCGTTACTCTTTAGTACTCTGCAAAGGTCCTTGACAGAAGATTTTTCCCAGTGCAACTCATCTTTTGATTTCCTGACTGCTGGTAAAAGAGTGTTGATTGTAGATCCAAGCAATAAGAAATCATTAACAAATCCCAATCTTTTCTCCAATTATCCTAATACTACCTATTGGCCTGGTAGTGAGAATATTTGTTTTCTTGATATTGAGATGCAATCCATATTGAAAGCTTCAGTCCTTGAACTTCTAGAGCAAACACTTCAAGTCTTCCTCAGTTTCTGCAAGCAAGGTTGTATGATTTCCATAATGTAGGTTACTGATGAGTCCTCCTTCATTCCTGATGCCACAATCTTCTTCATAATTCCTAGCCTCCTGGATGATCTGTTCAAGTATGCATATATGAATAATTATATGAAACATAGTACATGAATTATTGTATAAAATAAAATGTATATGAATGAAATATAATGTAAAGGAATTATTATATGAAAGCCAATAAAAGAAAACATTTTAAGAAGGTATGGAGGATGGATACAACCCTGGCACACTCTTTTCTTGATTTTGAACCATGCAGAGTTCCATTGCTCTATTCTAATGCCTCCTTCCTAGTCGAGGTGTAGATTTTGTTTGAGCACTATCAAGTGTCCCTGGATTCCTATTCTTCTCAATTTTACCTACAATTTGTTGTGATCCACACAGTCAAATGAAACACAAATAGACATTCTTCTAGTACTCTTTGCTTTCAGTTAAGATCCATCTGACATCAGCAATGATGTCCTTAGTGCCACGGCCTTGTCTAAACCCAGCTTGTGTGTCTGACAGTTCTCTATTGATGTACTTTTCCAGTCATTTTTGGATAATCTTCAGCAAGATTTTGCTTGCATTGGATATTCAATATTTTCAACTTCCAATAGTCATATTTCGTACAGTTTTAGAAACCTATGAAATATGACATTTGGAGGTTAAAAACTCCCACACCTCACTTAAAAGGCAGGTAGGGATAATTTAAAAAAAATATTGATCAACAGTTGCATTCTAGAAACAAATATCTGGCCTCTCAGGAGAATCTCAAAGAATATCAGTTGGCATCCACTTGAATCTAATGCATGACAGAATCATCTTTGTTAGCATAGAACTAAGCTCCATAGACTCTCCAGAGTTTATGATTTTTAAACACTGCTGCTAACACAAACATAGGCAATTCAGATCTACCAGCTGCTCTATGAAGAAGCAATGTGCAGTCTCCTACCACAAAGATATACAACTTCAAAAACCAGATGGGACGGTCACTACGAGTAGGAACCAACAGCAGTCAGTTCTGGCCTTCAAGAAGAATATTGCCAGGTATTTAGTCTGAGGCACTTCTGGGTTAACTTAAATGGCCAGCTTTCTGGTCATCAACCAGCACACTAATCATTTGCATCACACAGAGGCTCCATTTTGAAAAATAACACTCATCAAGCATGTCATTTCTGATCATTTGCTAGAAGATTCGTCTCATTACTTTGGAATAATAAGGTAGGCCCTATGGTCAGAGTTCTTGGCAAGAGGACTTGAACTAGAATTTCAAATTTCTGGCACCTATTAAAAACAAAAAGAAGTAAATTCATCTGACACAAGTATGATTTCTTAGACATCAGTGAGGTTGAATGTGAATAGTGCTCTGTTTCGTTCATATTCTTTGTGTGTTTTTCTTTCTTGATCCTTCACCCACTGAAATAACAAAATGAACTTACTATCCCACCTTCGTTGTGCTTTCTCTGCAGAGGAGCTTACCATGGATGTAGTCCTTACACTCTCGGCTTGACAAGTGTAGGATCCTACAAGACAGAACTCCCAGTGGGAACGGGTTGCCAAGCAGTGAGTTATGAGTTTTTTGTCTGCTTCTTTACAGACTGCTGGGTTTGTGAGATAATTGATCCGAGTTGTCTGATATTTTCTTGACAAATTAATATTAAACCTGTCATTAATCAGGGATTCAATTTGATACTGTTGACTTGAACACCATTTGGAGGAAGTATTTCTTATAAAAGCGTCAGAATCTGAGTCCTAATTAATGATTGTCCTTTTTTTAATTTGTTCTGGTTTTTAAATGAAGTAAATTGCAAGGAAATGCACTGAAATTAGTTCTCAGAGCCTTGACTATTCAAAGTTTCTCTAGTATCATTCACACACTCACCTTCTGTCCTCACACACTGTGTTCACCTTTTCAACATCCAACTCAGCCCTCTAATTACTCTTATTCTCTCAGCTGCCCTTACTCACCAAGTCCTTCAGCAAAAAGAACATGGAAATCAGTTTTTTTTATAGTGTGCCCACATATCTGATTTTTTAAAAAAAATCTACCTTCAAATAAAATAGTAGATCTTTCTTGCAAAGTGAGAAAAAGTGAAGGGGGAATCATAATATCAAACCAAGATGTCATTTTGCTTTGATTGATACCACATTCTACCCCAAACTGACAAGTTTGTATTCCTGTCTTGCCAAACTCTTTCTTTTATTGATTGCAGACCATGTGCCCGGATGTTTTCCATGGCCCTTGGGGAGGAAGCCATTGTAGAGATTCTCCGGTGCAGACAACTAGGAAATGCAGCTGTGCACCAGGTTCAACTGGGCAAGGAGGGAGGGAATATGGGAAGGCGTGGAGGGAAAAGGAATATAGAGTCAGAGCCATTCGTGAGTGAGCAATTACATCTAAAAGGAAAAGAAAATTGGGAAATGGAAAAGCCAAGTGAAATAAGACTAGAGAGTAACATCTCATTGAAATAGCATTGCACATGCCAAATACAACTTTACCTTGGGTGGTGCAAAGAACTTTCAGGCTGAAGGTTCAAATTCACCCAGAGTTGCCTTGGAAGAAAGGCAGGCAATCTTCCAAAATTGCTTCCAAATGCTTCCAAAATTCAGCCATTGAAAATCAATTCTACTCTCATACTCATGGAGTTGCCATGAGTCAAAGGCTACTCAACTGCTACAAGGACCACTTTCTCATGCAAGCAAAACCAAGTAAAGGGAAAAAAAAAGATGGGTATGTATTAAAAAATAATAAAACTATATAAAGGAAAGACTATCACTTGTTATTTAACCATGGGACAGTCTTGAATCTCAAGCTCTATTAGTAATGGCTCTGGCATCACTTTTCAAAGAGCATGAAGTTTGTGGAAGTATTCACCAATTCCCAACGGAAGAAGGCAAGAGGGGAAAGAGTACTTTCAGGAATCTCAAAATTCCCATCAAAGAGGTTCTCCAGGGACTCAGAATGCCAGCCAGTATGAGAACATCTGTCAAAATAGTAGGTCTTTCTTTGGCTGTTGACATCTCTTGCAAGTTTCAAAGGTGTTCTCACAAAGAAAACTGTTCAGTATCAACCTTATTTTTATGTGTAATCTTTACTTATTATTAGCGTGAAGGAGAGGATGCACGAATATGAGATCTACCGTTTGTTAATCAGCAAGTCTTGCTTCACGTATGTAACCCAGTACAAGACTTCTTGGATATCTGGTCTTAAGTAATTCCAAAAGAAAAAACTAAACATTCCAGCTCAAACATCTTTAATGAAAAATGTGAGTCACTGGGTAGAGAAGAAGAATGCAAAATGGAAGTCTTAAATGTCAGCTTTTAAAAAAAGAAAATTCGGAGACATCTTAAAAATAAGATGAGGTGACAGCGAAATGGAGGTAAAAATAAAAATGAAAAAAAAAGGATACATGATACATAGAAGAATTAATGTAAATCAAGACTAGCAAGAGGAAATGGAGAAAGTCTGTTATGTTGTGGGTATTGTAATTCATAAGTATGCAATGAGGGTTGCAGAGTGGATTATATTTGAGGGTAGGGGGTGGGGTTTGGGGAGGTGTGGGGGGGTGGATTGTGTACCAATGAGGGAGTTTTTCTTTTGCTTTTCAAGGAGAGGAGCAAATGGGGGGAAGGGGGGAGGGGTTTGTGCGGGGAGAAGGGTACAACAATGAATGAATGGAATCCCAAAATCTCTGTAGATGTTCATTGAAATGAAAAATAAACAACCTAAATTAAAAAAACACACACAATGTATCTGAATGATTGAATAAAAAGTTAATTTGATTTGTAAACTTTCCCTCAAACAAAAATTATGAAAATAACAGAAGGAAGTTCAAAGCTATAATTCAAACTCTCCACTTAAATTTTTGCCTTTCTATGGTGATTTGGGAATTGCCAACCTATATTCTACCTCTAATATGACAGCTACATATCCATACTCTTTGAAGATTTGTTATTTCAGAAGTAGATAGTCAATCTTACTTTCTAGTCTGTCTTAATTTGGTAGTTCTGTTGAAACCTTTCCACCATGGGGAACCCTAATGACATAGCTTTCAGCAGCACAGCAACCCACAAGTGAACTCAGTACAGCAAACTGACTGACAAGTACTGTGCTAATACAAATAAATAATAAACAAGTGAGTATACACATACTTAAGCTATAAAATAAGTAGCAATACACTCCACCAATACAACAAACTAACAGATAAATAATGTACCTTTAACAGAAAACCACAGAAACAATTGTTGTTGTTGTTGTTGTTATGTGCTGTCGAGTTGCTTGCAACTCATTGCAACCCTATGTACAAGGGCCCTACACATCGCTCTATCCTGTGCCAACCTCACTCTCTCCAACATAACTTACTCCCACTACCCAATCACAGAATCGATCCATCTCATCGAGGGTCTTCCTCTCCTGTGCTGTCCCTCCACTTTCCCAAACATGATGTTCCTCTCCAAGGACTGATCACTCCTTCCAGCATGCCCAAAGCATGTCAGATAAAGCTTCAGAATCCTGGACTCCAATGAGCAGCCCAGCTACACCCTCTCCAGGACAAACTTGCTTGTTCTCCTAGCAGTCCATAGAATATTCAACACTATTCCCCAGCACCACAGCTCGAAGGCATCAATTCGCTTTCTATCATCACTAGACACTGTCAAGCTCTCTGATGCATAGCACGCAATTGTGACAACTATTGTCTGCATCAGTCATACCTTAGTCTCCAGCCTGACATTGTTGCTCTTCAGTACTCTGGAGAGGTTCCTGACAGCTGACTTTTCCCAAATGCAATTAATCTCTTGATTTCCTGTCTGCTGGTACCAAGACTGTTGACTATGGATCCAAGCAAACTAAAACTGTTAACTATCAATCTCTTCACCATCCATACTGATGCTACCAATTGGCCCAATGGTGATGGTGAGAATCTTTGTTTTCTTGATGTTGAGCTTCAATCTGTATTGAAGGCTGCAGTGCTTGACCTTCAGCAGTAAGCACTTCGGGTCCTCCTCAGTTTCAGCTAGCAGGGTTGTGTCATCTGCAATATTATAGCACAGGCAGCCTTGTCTGGCCCAAATAAGGCCCAAGACACAATGGCATGGGACCCCACATGATTCCTGGGACCTTCTGGCTGAGGCTTGAGGCAGTGGCCCTAATGAGATTGACTGACATGGTAACTACAGCAATGGGCTCAAGTATGTCAGAGATAATGGAGATGGCACAGAACAGAACAGGGTTCAGATCTGTTGTTCATAGGGTTGCTATGAGTCACACTCATCTGCATGGCACCTAATAACAACAACATGGGATTTGAGCAAAAGTTTACAGAGCAAATTGGTTTCCTAGTCAATAATTCATACACATTGACTTCATTACATTTATCGCAATTCTTTCACAGTAACAGCACATCTGTCCTTGTGTTTCCCATTCCCATTTGTCCTTAATTACTATTCCTTTGTATCTTCAGAGCTTTACCCCTAGGCAAATGCTATTCTTTGAATCCCCTAGAGTTGACTGATCTAAAGAGTTTGTGCCTTTATATGCCTGTCTATTGTTGAATTCTTTATTTTAATGATGAGGAAACTTCAGTTCACACCTCAAAGGTGGGAGAACCAGGATCTGGTATAAGGTCATTATTTAAATTCAAAACCAATATGACCACTATCTAGAATCACCCCATATACACTGATGTGCTATCTGGATGTACCAGACCTTCAAAAATAAGTCCTGTTTTGCTAGTCAGGATTGAGGAGGCATTTGAAGACAAGTAATCTGGATTCTGTGACCTGAAATAAATGCACCTAATGTGCACCTGATTCAGGTCATAGTCTTTCCAATCACGTGCTATGCATCTGAGAACTGAACAATGAATACAGATGACAAAAGAAGAACTGATGTCTTTGAGCTGTGGTGTTGGAGAAGAGTACTGAACAGCCCATTGACAGCCAAAGAACAACAGGTGTATCTTGGAGAGGGTGCAGCTGGAGTGCTCTTTTGATGTAAGATTGATGAGGTTTTGCCTCATATACTTTAGACATGTTGCCAGGAAGGCATATTCCTTGGAGAGATATATGCTGCTAGGAAGGGTGGAGGATCAGCAAAGGAGAGGGAGAACATGGACCAGATGGATTGGCACAGCGACTGCCACAATGGGCTCTTGTATGTCAGGAAGTGTGAGGATGGCCCAGGATAGAATAGGGTTTAGATCTTTTGTTCATAAGGTTCCTGTGAGTTGTATTCAACTTGATGTGACCTAACAACAAGGCAATCTAGATTCTACTCCAAGCCTTGCCATCGTCCAGCTATGAGCCAAAGCTTCCACATTGCCTTCATTTTCTTGCTTGTAAAGTGAGAGAACTACATCTGATCTCTCCACCTCCACATTACAGAACTTAAGAGATCAAGGGATAAACCACATGTCTTGTCTTTTCATAGAGTGAGGCAAATAATATCCAGAACACACATTTATAAGCAACATGTAAAATAAAGTTGGTATAGTTTCACTTTAAAAAATACTTGCTGGAGGTGTGGTGTTGTTGTTAGATGCCAAGTATGGTGTCAAGTATGACTCACTGCAGCTCTATAAAAAACAGATCTAACCCCTGTCCTATCCTGTGCCATCCTCATCATCTCTGATATACCTTGAGCCCATTTCTGCAAGTAACATGGCAATCCATACTACTCTAGGGCTCTTCCTATCTTTTGCTGGACCTCCACTTTCCCAAGCATTCCTTTGCAAAGAATAGCATCTCCTAGCAACATGGCCAAAGTATGTAAGATAAAAATGTGCCACCCTTTCCTCTAAGGAACACACTGGCATCACTTTTTCCAAGACATATTTGTTCATTCTTTTGGCAGTCTATGGCTATTCAGTACTCTTCCCAACACCACAACTCAAAAACATCAATTCTTCTTCTCTCATTCTTATTCATTGTCCAGCTCTCCGATGCATAGCATGTCACTGAAAAGACCATGGCCTGAATCAGGTGCACTTTAGTTCCCAAATTTATATTATTGTTCTTCACTATGGACAGCACTACTGACTGCAGATTTGCCCAAAATAATATGTCTCTTGATCTCCTGACTGCTGATACAAGAGTTTTTATCGTGGTTCCAAGTAAGATGAAATCATTGACAGTTTTAAACCTTTCTCCATTATGATTTTGCCTATTGGAGCAGTGGTAAGGATCTTTGTTTTCTTGATGTTAAGATGTAATCTATATTGAAGACTGCAGTCCTTAGTGTTCTGAAGCAAGCATTTCAAGTCCTCCTAAGTTTCATCAAGCAAGATTGTGTCATCTTTATAATGTAA